TTGGGTGTCTGAGGCCACCGAGGGCCACCCCAAAACTCACCCAGCCCCTTGGGTGCCTGAGGCCACCCCAAAGGTCCCCCGGTCCCTTGGGTGCCAAGGCCACCGAGGGCCACCCCAAAAGTCAATCAGTCCCCTGGGTGCCCGAGGCCACCCCAAAAGACATCCGGGCCCTTGGGTGCCCGAGGTCACTGGGGGTCACCCCAAAAGTCACCCGGGCCCTTGGGTGCCTGAGGTCCCCCCAAAAATCACCCATCCCCAAGCCCAAGCTCCCAGCACCATCCCCTTCCCACGTGTCCCGGCTCCCAATCCCGGGGCGCCGCTGCCCGGGAAAGCGCCGCCCCATGCGGCTCCGCCTGGGACAGCGCGTCCCCCTCGGGGTCCTCCCCGGTGTCCCCCCACCCCGTACTCTTGTCGAAGATGGGCTCCGAGAGCACGGGGCTGAGGTGGCGCGTGTGCCCGGCGCCGTCGCGGTACGACGCCTGGAAGCAGATCCGCACCACGTTCATGTCGACCTCCTGGTGGTTCTTGAGCGAGCCGGCTGCGGAAAGGGCGCCGGGCGCCGTGGGTGACGGTCCCCGAGAGAGGGTGTCCCCAAAACGCCCCCCCAGGACCCCCCACCTTTGAAGGGGTCGATGCCGAGCTGCAGCTTCCGCTCGATGGCCGCCTCGATCTCCTTCTTCTTCACGCACTGGATGCCCAAGTTGCTGAAGCTGCCGCGGCAGCCGGGGGGGACACAGAGGCGCGTGGGGTCCCTGGGGACACTGGAGGGGGTGCAGGGGGGTGCGGGGGGGGGTACCTGTGCTTGGGGTTGGTGGGGGGCTTGAGCAGCACCTCGCAGAGGCCGTTGCTGCAGTCCTTGCCGACGAGGCCGTGCGGGTGCACGCGGTAGGGCCAGTCCTTCCACACGAGGCACGCCGTCACCTTCACCTCGGGGATGGCCTCGCAGTGCAGCAGCTGCGGGGACGCGGGTGCTGCCTCAGGGACGCCCACGGGGCTACCCTCCCCAGCGCCCAGGGCACCCCAGAATCCCCATGGGGACCCCAACATCCCCAAAGCACCAAGGAGACCCCAGAATCTCCATGGGGACCTCAACACCCTTCCCAGCACCCAGGGGAGATGAGCACCCTCATGGGGACCCCAACACCTTCCACAGCACCCAGGGGACCCCATCATCCCCATGGGGACCTCA